CATCGCTACTTCCAACTGAGCTATGTCCGGGTGCGGTCTAGACCTTTAACTACAATTTTCAAAATTGTAATTATATACCCTTGTAAGGGGCCCTTGCAGACGTGCTTGCCCATTCATGACGAGACTCGAAGCCTCCGCACTCCACCTTGCCGGGAGCAGATCGCTGCACGAGTCCGCATGACCATCTCGATGGGCATATGTCGCGGCAGTCATCGTAGTAGTCAAGATCTCGAGTGCGCATTCATGCAAGAGGGGCATCGTAACTTCGTGGCTCTGTGTCCTGCGTTACATGGGGACTCGCAAGTCATGCCTTGGTAGTGAGATGTTGGGCGTAGCTGTCTGCTGCCATCACGAAGGCTCAAGTTACACCGTTTCTCGGCTGCATACCGAGGCGCTTGCGAAGTGAGCGATTTTCCAGCTCGAGCTGCGCCGTCATCGAGGTGAGGGTGTCGTGCACTTCGCTTTGCACACCTGCACCGATGCCGCGTGGATCTTCGCTTTCGTCGATTCTTCCCAGCCCATGCTGGTAGGAGCTGTACTTTGCGGAGGATTTGGCAATCGAAGACCAGTCGAAATGAACTGAAGCTCGGCGATTGGACGGCGTAGCTTTCGGCAGCGACAAGCTGGTGCTTGCGGGCACAAACACGCTGATGGAATGACGAGGCGCATGGCTACTGTGCATGTGGCTTTGCACAAACGAGCTGCTCGCGCTTCGACCATAGCTTGAATAGCGGTTGTGCCTGCTGGTTTGGGTGAGAGGTTCACTTGTTGCATGTTGACGACTCCAGTCTGGATCCGACGACGACAGTGTCACCCACACTTTGCTTGCCACCTGGCGGGCTCGACGAGGAATTTCGTCCGCTTTCGTGAGATTCTCGATCACTGGCTGAACCACTGCAGCGATCAGCCTACCCGCTACGTTGAGCTGAACGGTTTGTGCCAGCCCGACAATGGCAGCCTGCGCAGCGACAGGAAGCAACGGAGTGAGGCAGGCAGTGTCCACAAGGCTCTGTCCGACGAGCGGCATTGGACAAGTAGGACCTAGAATCGAGCGGATCACCGTACATCTGCTGGTGCCATTCTTTCCTCTTGTTCCTCTGCACGTGTCTCCGAGTCGAGATGTCGATATGCGCAGGATGAGACCGTGTCTCGAGACGAGCAGTCGTACCTCCCAGTGAGCTTGGTGTGCGGATCGAGCCATTTTTGGGGCATACCAGGAAGCATGGGGGTCCAACGTGTAGGGAGCCGCTATGGCAGCCAACGTCGGGAGTCGGCACATCCGCACAGTGGCGAATATGCAGATCTCGTCGGCGTCGCTTTGCGTTGCAACCGTGGAGACTTTGACCTCAACCAGCTGGTGTGCACCTGACTCGACTTTCCAGGAAAGAACCATCTCCTTGGAGTAGTGAGGATGTCGAACAGGTATCCTGCCACCACGGCGGTCTTGCGAAGCCCAGCGATCCTGTTGGTACTGCTGTAGTAAGACCTCGCGGCACGCTTTCTGCCACCATGCCACGGTCTGGTGGTCAGAAAGCAGCTCGGAGAAGGTTATCTTCGACGCACGCAGCGAGTCCCAAGTGGCTGGCTGCCTTAGAGTCTCTTCTATCTCACCATTACCAACTGGACCTGTAGTGAGCATTTCGCACAGGATCGCAGAGTCTGCGGCCGAGACGATGTGATCTTGGTGATCTAGAAGGAAGAAAGCCATTTTGCCACCCAGGACTGCGTTCTGCAAGCAGCGCTTTGTCGCCGCTCGAATTTGTGCTGGCGTTATTGCCGTTAGAGACGCGCTTTGGCTCGTGATCGGTGCCGTCAAGAAGTTCAGGGGATACTCTGAACTTTCGAGCCTCGTATTGCCTGGTGGTTTGGAGGAGGTTCCGGCGTTGCTCTGCTGATATGACTGCATAATGGGAGAAGGGAGGCCAAGAAGGGCTCCAAGCCGCTCGGAGTGCATCTGTGTCACAGCTCGACTGTAGCCCGTGACTGTCGGAGGCTCGTTCAGAATTGTCAAGTTCGATACAGGAACCTGGTCTTGACGCTCTTCAGCCTGGTTGAATTGGAGAAGGGGAGGCTCTGCGCAGCTGTTGGAAGCCAGGCTGGGGGCGCCCAATGGGGAAAGCTTCCCTGCTGACAACAAAGCATCCGCAGCCGTTGCCGAAGCAGCACTCTCCTCTGACGCAAAGGAATAGTTGTTGATAGCATCGATGTCCCCAAAGGACCTTTTTCCGAGCGTCGTCTGCCCTTCTGAAGGAAAGAAGAGTCCCAAGGCCGTCGAAGTGTCAAGAGAGCATCCCGATGGCGTCTGCTCCATCGTCGAGTAGCTTGTCTCCGACCAGGGGCTCGATTCAGGCAATATTTCCCGAAGAAGATCCGAGACAGACATAGATCGATCATCAGACAGTCCTCCTTCGAGGCTGAACAAGTTGCTTGCAGCTGCAATCGACCATGATCGTTTCGCCAGCATCGGATGTGGTACTTCTGATGTCCTTGACGAGCTGCAACTCGGCGGCACGGACATTTGAAGGCTCGGCTCGTGGGCCTGACCACCGCAAATTGGCGCTACCATCCTGGAGGTCGTGCAGAGCGACGCCAAAGTGATGTCAAGCCAAGCGTCTTCCGGCCCCGGCACCGGCGTATCTTGCGTCTGAGACGACATCATCGGTTCGGCTCGCACTTGATGCGGAAATATGGTCGTGGGATAGGCTGCTGTCGGAAGCAGCGGTGTTAGCAGGTCCGAGGTATTGCTGCTAGTCGATGAAACAGAAGCAATTGTGCTGGTGTCCTTCTTGAGCATCGCCAGGGCGTCTGCTGAGCTTGCGATGGATGCTGGGCGACATCGCCCCTGCGTAGTTGTCGACATGGCGACGGCCGGAACCGCAGGGACCTGTGTTAGGGAACGTGACGTCTGCATCATCGAAAACAGCTTGCTTTGTGTTTTTTGCTGTCTTTACGGTGACCAAGGCGACTTGAAGTGTTGCTATGACGCAGAGCGATGCCTGAGTTCTTGGACGCCGAAATTATATTCTCGCTCGAGGTGCGTCGAAAGTGATGAGTAGAGAGAACCAGCTTCTCGGTTCCCGCATCTCCTCTTGTCCGCGAGCTTGGCAGAGACATGCGACTGGTCAATGACGTTGCGAAAGCCGCACGCAGGTGGGCTAAGCTCGAGAAAGCTGATTCAGTTGAACCTAGACTGAGCCTCGAGCTTGAACATGCAGGCTTGGATTAAGGTTGGGGGATAATGTCGGAGATTGTTGCGCTGTCTGGGTCTGCCCGTGCCTGGTGAGGTGCTGCAGCTCCTTGAGCTTGGCGAGCTCGCTTTATGCCTGCGCGCGCGTGTGCCAAGGATGGCCTTGAGTGAGATGGTGGGAAAAGACGGCGACGATTGAGAAGTGGTCGAGCCGCGAACCCGGATGACGATTCTCCTGCCAAGCTGGTAGTGATAGTTGAAGTCGAGCATGCGTCACAGATGCACCGGATGAGTTCCATATAG